TTTTTTGAAACCCACCACTGATACACACACACACACACACACACACACACACACATACACACACACACACAGGAAGTCCTAGTTCAACAACCGCAATTAGACCTGGAGTTTTGATTGTAAGTCGTTGTGGCCATTATGCAGGTCATCACATTGCTTGACTCAATTGTACAACCATTTTTACAGTGATTGTATAGTGAGTTACCATCTTTATGCAAATCATGCAGTCATTAAGCATAACCGAGTGGTCTTTAAGCAAACCCAGCATATCCCATGGCTGTTTTTTTTAAAAATTGTTTTCTGCTGGAAAAAGGCAAAAGGCTTTGCAAATCACAGCTGTAAATCTGAACCAGGTGCCTCAAATGTGACGGTGAGAATGAAGGAGCTGAATGCCGCAATTGTAACTTTGAAGATGGGTTGCAAGTAATTTTTTTGAATCCGTCATAATTTCAAACGGATGTTAAGTGACTGGTCATTAAGCAAAGAATATATGTCACTACAGGTACTCCTCGACTTACAATGGTTTGTTTAGGGTTAGGGTTTGTTTGTTTAGCGACTGTTCAAAGTTACAATAATACTGAAAAAAGTATTCATACATTTATAGTCAGGACCGTTGCAGCAGCATCCCCGAGGTCACAGGATCGCTTGGCAACTGACTCATATTTATGACGGTTGCAGGGTCAGGGGTCAAGCGATCTCCTTTTTTGCTACCTTCTGACCAGCAAATTCAATGGGGAAGCAGTATTCACTTAACAACAGTGTTACTAATTAAACAACTGCAGTGATTCACTTTACAACTGTGGCAAGAAAGGTCGTAAAATGAGGTGAAACTCACTTAACAAATGTCTCACTTAGCAACAGAAATTTGGGGCTCCATTGTAGTTATAAGGACTGCCTGTATATCTATAATATTTGCACAACGCCCAATGCCTGGAAGATATTTAGTGCCGTAGTAAAAATCCATTTATCCATCCAATCAAATCCTGAAAGGAGATGACAGCTGAGGTGCTCCTTGAACCCAGAACTCACCATATGTAGAAAAAGAAAACAAAAATCGGGGCAGAACCAGCAATCTGAAGATGCCGCCAGTCCTGGAGGCCATACGCTAAGCCTGCCAGGATCATCTGTCCCAAAGCGAAAGTCACATGGGTGGTGATGATGGCGTGTGGACGATAGGCAATGCCAACCCACTCGGTGCCTGCAAAGAAAAGTTGAATCAGAAGGGGGGGGGGGAACCAATGGCCAGTTTGCTATTCCCCCCCACCCCCATCTTGGTGCGGTCTGCAAATTTGATGAGTTCCCCTTCTCTCTCTTTTATATAAATTGTTTTAAGATTTGGTATACCCCAGTGAAGGCTAACCTTTTACGTCAGTACATGCTGACCTGCGCACCAGAAATGGCACGCAAAACCATCCCGCGAGGAATGTGCGGCCTCACTGTCGCGCACCTGGGAGCACTGAAACCCAGAAGATCAGTGTTCCATCACGCATGCGCGTGCTAGGACCCAAACTTCCAGTTTCCGGCGCATGCACACACCCGACAAACAGCTGGCTGTTCTGCATGCATGCACAAGAAAGCTGGGAGATTGGGTACCGGCGCACGCATGCGCAATTGAATGCTGTTCTTCTGGGTTTCAGCACACACACACACACACGCACACAAAGGACACCTACCCAGCGCATGTCCGCCCAAGGAACACGAAAGAGGAGCCAGTGAGGCTGCGCATCCCGCGCAGAACAGCCCTACAGGCCACTTCCGGCATGTGTCTCATAGATTTGCCAACACGGGTATAACCAAATCATCAACATCAGCTTTATCATCAAAGACAGTAGCAATATCAGACTTATATATTGCGTCACAGTGCTTTACAGCCCTCTTAAGCAGTTTACAGAGTTGGCCTATTTCCCCCGCCAGCAATCTTCATTTTACCGAGGGACGGAAGGCTGAGTCAGCCTTGAGCCAGACAGGATCGAACTGAGGGTAGTCGGCAGAGTCAGCTTGCAATGCTGCATTCTAACACTGCGCCATCAGGGCTCTACAAAAGCTACGCGTGTCTTGTTTAAGTAAAACACTGCTTAGCATAATGTGCCAATGCTGTTAAAATACTTCTGGTGAACTGCAAGTGAGCAGGTGGTCAAATGTATATTATTGATTTATTATCCATTAAGCAAATTTATATAGGCACCCAACACACATTTAAATGATTCTGGGCGGCTTACAACATTAAAAAAATATCTGCCATATAATTTAAAAAACCAAGAATTACACACACACACACACACACACACACACACACACACACACACACACACACACACACACCGTTGGGAGCAACAGCATGATCAAATCAGCCACTTGACTAATCCGTTCTTGGAAGGACAGAAGGCTAAATCAAACTTGGTCAGGATACCGTTATCAAATAGATAATCAAGAATGTAAGGGAACTATGATTTATTGGGGGGAAAAAATAATACTAATCGTAATCGAACACATACTGTTCAACGAAAGCGAGGCATTTAGTTATACTAGATGAAAAATCTGTGATGGCAAATGTTATTTGAGAATATGGATGTTAAAACACCTGTAACCAAACGACATGTTTTATGTGATGATGCTTTTTTTTAAAATTGTTGTATGTATGTGTTGTCTGTGTAATAAAAATAAAATAAAAAAATTTGGTCAGGATCGAACTCCTGGCAGTGGGCAGTGAATTAGCCTGCAATACCGCATTCCAACCACTGCGCCACCAGGGCTCTTCCATTCGCTGAACACAAATGCATATCCCAGGGTTACGTCTTACACAGAGCTGTGCTGCTTATGTTGATCCCAGAGAGAGCTGCTCCCAGCAGAAACCGGAGACCACAGTAGAGGTAGAAACTGGGGGCAAAGGCGACCGCAACTCCCGCGGCGCCTTCCAAGAACAAAGACAACAAGGCAATGGGCCGTCGGCCGTACCTGAAGGAGAAGAAAAGGGTGTTATGTTTGCCATTATAGGAGGTCCCTCCCTTACAACCATCCATTCAGCAACTGTTCGAAGTTACATTAGCGCTGAAAAAAAAAGCGACTTGCAACCCTTTTGGCACAACCAATCACAGCATCCCTACAGTCACGTGATCAAAATTCGGATGCTTGGCCTCCAACAGGTACAGATAGACAACCCACAACTGAGCCCAACGTTTAGGTCGCTAAGTGAGAAAAGCGAGTTTTGCCGCCGCTTTGTAACTTTTCTTGCCACGTTTCTTAACGTGAATCCCTGCAGTTGTTAAGTTAGTCAGACGGTTGTTAAGTGAATCTGGCTTTCCCCCATTGACTTTGCTTGTCAGGAGGGGATCCCATGACCCTGGGGCATTGTGACCGTCATAAATATGAAACAGCTGTCAAGCATCCGAAGGTAACTCAAGTGACCACCGGAATGTTGCAAAGGGCAATGAGTGTTAAAAATAGCCGTAAGTCACTTTTTCCAGTGCCGTTGTAATTTTGAATGGTCACTAAACGAACTGTTGTAAGTCGAGGACTACCTGTATTTACAATGGTTGCACCGCCTTTTGCAATTTTTTGCGTGCTGAACCGGCAGTAATGCCAGCAGCAACCCACCCCTGGGCAAGACTTCCTTAACAAATGTCTCACTTAGCAACGGAAATTTGGGGCTCAGTTGTGGTTATAAGTTCACGACTTCAGTTCCACGCCTGGACCAGGGGTGGGATCCTAACAGTTTAACAAGCGCTGCGCGTGCACTTTCGTTTCAGCGTGCACCTGAGATGCCTGGCGTGCGTGCACAGTTGATAGGAAGAGAGAAATTTACTTGGCCACACCGATCAGCTGGGCTAAAAAGCAAGGGAATGTAAGTGAATGTAACCCGTAGGTGGACTCAAGGCCAGAATGAACCGGTTCGTTCTCAGCTGATCTTCGGAGCTACCAGTTCACTCAAACCGGGCCGAACCTGTAGAATCCCACCTCTGGCCTGGATGTGTGAAGCCTTTAGCTCTGGTCATAAAGGCGGCCTAGTTTACGGAAGACCACGTCTAGGATCTCCGGAGTTGAACGGTCGTCTTTTGAATCAGCCTTTTCTGCTCACCCCACGTTTCCCTCCACCCCCTAAGTTGCCATCTTCCATTCTGCATGTTGGAATCCTTTTGGTTGCCTTACCAGTCACTCAACGGTCCTAACACCACGGCTCCGACGAGGAGGCCCGACATGAAGATGGACTGGGAGATGTCAATTAAATCCTCTCTGTCACATACCAAGGAAAACTTAAAGGAGGGAAGGAGAAATACTTTAATGAAAAGAAACCATAACTCATCCCATGATCACGGTCAGTGGTGGGTTGCAGGCGGTACACCCCGGTACGGGTGTACTGGAGCCTACACGGAACACTGGGTACCGTTCTGGTACAGTGCTCTGGAGGGCCCACCCACCCGCCCGAGCTCCTTACCTGTCCTTTAAGCCTTTGGCGCTTCTGCGCACGCGCATGGCACGTACGGTGCCTCCACAATGCTCCGCTGAGTAGCTGGAGCGTTGTGGAAGCTTGCAGAGGCATTGCAGGCAGGTACGACTCATGCATGTGCCGTGTGCATCCATGTGGGCCCGTTCCAACCATACTGGTTGGAAGATGATCCGGAACCCACCACCGACCACGATAGATATTTTAGTGACGGCGCATCATTAGAAGGATCACCCTTAGCAGGAAACAGGAGGTCCTAACCCTGCTACACAGGACTTTAGGCAGACCCTATTTGGAATATGGGTGGTCCTCGATTTATGACCATAATTGAGCCCAAAATTTAGGTTGCTAAGTGAGAAATCCGTTGAGTGGGTTTTGCCCCGTTTTATGACCTTTCATGCCACAGTTGTTAAGTGATCCACTGCAGTTGCTCCATTAGTAACATGGTCGTTAAGTGAATCGGGCTTCCCCGTTGACTTTGCTTGTCAGGAGGCCGCAAAAGGGGATGATATGACCCCCAGGGGTGGGACACTGCGGCTGTCATAAAAATGAGTCAGTTGCCAAGAGTCAGAAATTTAATCGTGTGACCATAGGGATGCTAAAAATGTGTGGAAAATGGTATAAAACCAGAGGTGGGGATTCAGGCAGTTCTCTCTGGTTCGGGCGAACCGGTAGTGGCAGCTGCAGGAGGCTCCGCCCACCCACACTGACATAATGCACCAGCACATGCGCCAGTGGTGGGTTGCTAATCCCGTTCCAACTGGTTCACGCATGAGTCTTAGCACCTGCGCGATGCTCCAGCTGCTCACGGAGAATCGCGCAGGCGCTATATGTGCCATCCAGCTGCTCGCGGAGATCACGCAGACGCTGTATGTGCCATGCGCCTGCGTGGAAGCACAGAAGCCTTCAAAGACCGGTAAGGAGCGCGGGCAGGCGGGTGGGCCCTTTGCCATTTCCGGAAGTTACTTACTTCCGGGTTCGCCGACCAACCAGTTAGCGGGGACCGCTGCGAACCGGTTGAAACACATACACAGAAGGCCATGCACATGCGCAGATGAGGCACATAAGCTCACATTTGTGAACCAGTAGGGGAGGTAAGGGAATCACACCTCTGCACTAAACAAATTGTTGTAAATTGTGTCCAGTTCCGGAGACCCTACTTTAAAAAGAACATGGATAGAACTGAGCGAGTCCAGAGACAAGCAATAAAAACGTTTCAAGATCTGGAGCGAATGGGGAACTCAAGAGAAAGAGGGGACACAATTGAAACCTTTAAGTACAGGTAGTCCTCGACTTACAACTGTTCATTTAATGACCGTTCAAAGTTGCAATGGCACTAAAAAGGTGACTTTTGAGCAATTTTCACACTTATTGCAGCATCCGCGTGGTTATATGATCAAAATTAGATGCTTGGTAACTGACTCATATTTATGACAGTTGTGGTGTGTTGGGGTCGTGATCCCCTTTTGTGACCTCCTGACAAGCAAAGTCCATGGGAAAACCAGATTCACTTAACAACCGTGTGACTAATTTAACAAATGCAATGAATTCACTTAACCATTGTGGCAAGTAAAGTCGTAAAATGGGGCAGAACTCACTTAACAAATGTTTCACTTAGCAACATAAATTTTGGGCTCAATTGTGGTCATAACTCAAGGACCACCTGGGTATTAAGGTGTGAATAAGGTTCTAGAAGGCATTTTCAAGGTTAAGCAAAAATCCAGAACATGAGAGCATTGCCTCAAACTTCAGGATCGGAGCTCAAAAGTAACGTTAGAAAGTCTTACTTCACAGAAATAGTGGAAGCTTGGAAACAACTTGCAGCAGTGGGTCAATCATCATTAACTGAATTTAAACACGCTTGGAATAAACACAGGTCCATTATGTGGCAAATTTTTTTTTAAAAGCCTCCAAAGTGAACCACTAGATCTTTTTCTGCCATCAGTCTTAACAGGATAACAGAGTTGGAAAGGACCTTGGAGGTCTTCTAGTCCAACCCCCTGATTAGACAGGAAACCCTACACCACTTCAGAAAAATGGCTATCCAACATCTTCTTAAAAACGTCCAGTGTTGGAGCATTCACAACTTCTGGAGACAAGTTGTTCCACTGATTAGGGGACTGGAGGCTAAAACATATGAAGAATACAATACAATACAATAGCAGAGTTGGAAGGGACCTTGGAGGTCTTCTAGTCCAACCCCCTGATTAGACAGGAAACCCTACACCACTTCAGAAAAATGGCTATCCAACATCTTCTTAAAAACGTCCAGTGTTGGAGCATTCACAACTTCTGGAGACAAGTTGTTCCAC